CCCTCCCCACACACACACCGTGGCAGTGTCCTTGCAGCCCGTCCTGTGTCCCAGGAAGGCCTGTCCGGGGGAGTCACCGGACAGGAGAGTGTTTCCTGAGGAGGGCTCTCTCCCCAGGAGCCCCCACTCCTCACCTTGAGGTTATAGTCGGCTTTTTTCCAATCAGGCCCTGAGTCCCATAGAAGGACGCCAGGCTCACAGACAACACACAAGGTAAACACAGTGAAGCAGCTCATTCTGAAAATCCTAATGGTGAGGCCTCCTAAGCATCCCCTCTCGGCTGTGGTCTGGCCACGATGGTCGGGTACAGGTGGGAGGGAGCTGAGGAGCCACCATGCTCCCAGGCGGCAAGTACACATGGGCCCGTGGGCCCAGAAGGCTGCCTCCCAGGACCCGGGCCCGGGGCAGCTGTCCAGGAATCTCAGTGGGGACCAGAAGGGAAGGGGTGCAGCTGGTAGAACTGGAAGCCACATGTGGATGGGGGTGATGTTCTAGGAGCTGGGCCAAGGGCCAGGGCAGGTGGGCAGGTCCAGCGGGAGAGACTCTGGGCAGCGAGGGGTGTAAATGGACAGGAGAATCTGCCCGTGCTGGGTGCCCATCATTCAGGCCTCAGTCACACTGTAGCACCAGTGGGACTCTTGTCTGTGGCAGTGTGGTGAGCACACGTGGTTCCTGTGGCCTCTGGTCTCTAACTCCCTGCTCAGAGCCCCACTCCTGAGTGTGGCGCTTGTCCCCAGCCTGTGTTCCCGGCCACTCTTGCCTCCAGTCCTGTCCAGAGCTGTCCTGTCCCCACACCAAGCTGACTGCCTGCCCTTCGCCCGAGCCCCACCCAGCCCACTGCTCTGGGCCAGGAGTCCTTCTGCAGGTCCTGGTGGCCACCCGGAGGCAGGTGCATAGTCACTCTCTGCTGCGAGGACCCTGTTCGTAATTAGTGCCCTGAGCTGCCCTGCTCTTCCCCGGAGCCCATCCCCTGTCTAAGGCTTGATGAGGTCAGCCAGGCCACTCCGTCCCGAGAGGCTCACAGGGTATTGCTGTGGAAGGCACCGTATTCCATGGGCACAACCTCATCCTGACCTTGTCTTTTCTAGCAAAACACATCGGCCGTTCTCTCTGGGAGAGCCCAGGCCCAGAGCTCAGCCAGGGGTGATGGGGCAGCCCATCCATCCTCCCAGCCGGAGGCCCATGAGGCTGACCTGGTCCAGCCACCTCCAAGGGAGAAGAGCGACCACTGCGTTCCCAGTTTACGAGGTGACAGTGGTGGTGGGTGTGCCACGCCCGGCCCTTCCTGCCATGTCCTGCATGGCGTGGACACAAGCAGAGTGTTCTCACAGCTCCAGGTTGCCCAGACCCTCAAGCACCAGGTTTGGGCACTTGCCATGTCACTGCTCTGTGGACAGGGGTTGCCAAGGCCTGTGCTGGTGGCCTGAGGGAGAACCCCAGGTTCCAGTTTATGTCCAAAGACAGGAAAAGTGGATGTCTCAGTTCAAAAACCACCAGACAGGGGGATTCTCTCTTACTCAGGGAAAGTCGACTTTTTGTTCTGGTCAGACTTACTTCACCTGATTGGATGAGGCCCACCCACTTTGGGGAGGGCAATCTGCTTTACTCAGTGCACTGATTCATGTGTTAAGCTCATCCAGAAACCCCCTCCCAGACACCTTCAGATAATGTCAATTAAATGTCTGGGTCCCCTGTGACCCAGTCAAGGTGACACAAAATTAGTGACCACTCTGGGTATGGTTGGAAATGGCGAGGTCTGTTCACACACTTGCTTCTTTCTCTCTTCCTTAGGCCCCGGCCATGCGTTTGAAGGACTCGCCATATCCCGGTGGCCAAGGGTGTGGCTGCCATGGTTGCGCTCTGCAGCATGGGCCATTTGTGGGACCATCTCCGTGGCCTGCGGCTTGGGGACAGGATTTATAGGATACAGGTGAGCCGTAAGATATCCTTAGGCCTTTGGACAGCAAGTCTGCTCTTTATAAGAAAACCCCTGCTTTTCTGAGAACTTGTAAGGTGTGGCCCAAATGTGGCTCCCGCTGTCTCATCCCAAACCATGGTGAGAGTTATTTATGGCTGATGATGCCAATTTCATAGGGTTTTAGCAGGAGCCAATGCCGTCCTCTGTGCGAGCCTGCTCGCTCGGGCCTGGGCCTGCTCGGGCTCAGCAGACGTGAAGTCCACTGTTATTGCTGTTACTGCCCC